CATTCATCCTTCATGTTCCTGGTGTAACTGATATTGGAATGAGAACTGATGCACTTGTTGAACTGATTGACATATTCCCTTCACTGACTGAACTATCAGGAATAGATGTACCTCCAATGTGTACTGAGAATAGTGCCAAGTCTATTGCTTGTGTAGAGGGTAGTAGTGTGGCCCCTTTACTAAAGAATCCAACAATGGAATGGAAGAAGGCATCTTTCTCACAGTATCCAAGACCTATTAGTGGGCTTAAACAAATTCCTGGCAAACCACCATTTGCAGGAAATGAACATGGGGAGAATGTGATGGGATATACAATGCGTGTTGACAAGTATCGTTTCACTGAATGGTACAAATTTGATCGTGATACTTCCAAACCAAACTTCACTGACACGTGGGGCACTGAACTTTACGATCATTCAACTCCAACTACTTTATTTAATGATGAAAATGCCAACTTAGCTTATAAACCAGAAATGAAAGACACTGTTGAAGAGTTGCGTAAAATGCTTCAAGCTGGCTGGAGGCATGCTCTTCCTCCTAAAAATAGATATTGACATTACTTCAAATAGTGTTTGCTGAATTTTTTACAGCTGTTATAATAACTCTAAAAAAAATTAGCTTCACTATGCTAAAATAAATTTAGGTTTAAAAATTTTAATTACTCAAAACTGCAATTACATGATTGAGTATGAATCTAGTAAATGAATTTAATACAGAGTTGTATTACCTTTAAGTTACAGCAAAGATCAAGAGTCGATGAACAAATAACATTCTGCCATAAGATTTACAAGGCACAGCACTATCTAAACTAAAGGAATATGTTAGGCCAAATGTGCACTGCATTAGAAAGTACTCTGACGTGTATTTTAACTTCAGCAAATATTATTAATTGAATTGGTTAAATGAACATATTCAATGATTTTTGTTCTATAATTCCTCTTTAATCTTTTCACCAGATCTTCTTCTCCTTTGAGTACACCAATGCAAGTCAGAGCTAAAGTGGTGGCACTCAAACGTGTTCTATCACAATAGAGGTTTGCAAGGATTGGGTTAGAATGAAGATTAGTATAAGTTTCATCAGTCTCTTTGATGCTAACAGTACAACCAATAGCTTTGGCAGCAGCTCAACAGCAATCCTTACTTTGCTATAGAATTGTTTAAGATTGTGCAATTTCATACTTCTGATACTAAATAGTAATGAAGCTTTCTCAGGTATAATATTAGGCTTAGTTCCTCCATTAGTGAAGACAGCATGTACATGCCAAGTACATGTACAGCATGTACAGCATGTTGTATAACTCATTCTAATCAAAATTGAATTATTTTATGAATTTTTAAATTTGCTTCAAAATAGGTAGTGCCAAGTCCATTGCTTGTGTAAAGGGTTTTAGTGTTGCCCCTTTACTATAAAACTAAGCATGGAATGGAAGAAAGCATCTTTCTCGCAGTATGCAAGACCACTTGATGGTCTCCCCCAAATACTAGTCTTACAAGCCAGATCATTCCCCACCACCGCAATCACTGTAGGCTGGAGAATTGTCTGGCTTGTAAAGCTACCCAAATACCAGGTCCCATTTGAACTAAATGAACATAGGGAAAATCTGATGGGATATACAATATGTGGTGACAAGTATCATTTCACTGAGTGGTAAAAATTTGATTGTGACAGTTCCAAATCAGACTTCAATGATATGTGGCGTAGTGAATATTATGATCATTCTACTCCATCTAACTTCTTTCATGACAAAATTATCAAATCAGCTAAAAAAGCAGAAATGAAACAGATTGTGGAAGAACTGTATAAAATACTGGAACAAGCTGGTTTGAGAAAAGTTCTTCTTCAAATAATACTGCATTAAAATTTTTAATGCAATTATTGATTATGATTATTAGAACTAGCTATATCAATGAATAAAGCTAATAAATCTATTTGACATAATTCATTAATTTGAGGTCATGGCAATGCAGCAGTTTTCTTCATCTCTGCTCTTTCTTCTTGTAAGCTTCATCCTAGCCACTAATGCTCAGAAAAAGAATGTCCTTTTCATTGCAGTTGATGACTTGAGGCCAGAGCTTAATGCTTATGGATTTGATTTCATCAAAAGTCCTAACATTGATAACCTAGCCTCCAAATCAATGCTGTTTGAAAGAGCATACTGTCAGATAGCAGTTTGTTCACCATCACGAGCTTCACTACTAACAGGACGTAGGCCAGATACCAATCATGTGTGGAAGATCGCTAATGATGAGTACTGGCGTACAGTACCCGACTCTACCAATGGTACCACTATTCCTCAATACTTTAAAGAAAATGGATACATATCTATTGGTATGGGTAAACTGTTCCATCCAGGGCCTCCAAGTGGCAATGATGATGAAGCATATTCCTGGAGTCCAGAAGGTCTGCCTTACTTTCATGCTGATCAAAATGTTAGCATTGCTAAGCATGCAGCTTGGTATGACTTTGATCAGCCAGACAACTACTTACAAGATGGTAAATTAGCTGATAATGCTGTATCAGTTTTACA